GGTAGGGTCTAGAGTCTATAGGGTTTAGGGTTCAGGGTTTAAGGTTTTGGATGGTGAGTGCTGAAAGGTAATAAAGGCCGCTTAACAATAAGATGAAGGCTCTTTTTTGGGTACACTAGCCGAAAAGTATATGAGAACTACAAAGGGGGTATGATATTATGACTACACGTGCGGCTCCTAAATGTGGGTTTGAACTTCATGGTGTGGACTTGTTGCAGGTGCCTCGATTGTCAATAGCATCGTGGCCACTGCTCGCCAGTGCAACTTGGACAAGGACATTGACGAGCTTCTAGGCAGCATTTTCTGCACAAGGCGCCCCACTGCGCCACCCGCAGATGAACATAGGCCTAAATCCGTGAACCCTAAACTTTCCTAAACTGTAAACCGTAGCTCCGCAGAAAACGGGCGTAATGACAACAACACCGTATCTCTGGCAAAGGTTGCAGGTTGCACAACTGCAAAGTTGGTGCAGGAAGCTAGAGAGCAGACCGTGGTGAAGCAGGAAGGCTGAGCACTTCGCTCAAAGTCAAGGAAAAAACCCAACATGGATAGAGTCTAACAGAAGGGATTGAAATTACTATAATGGTATCCCTCTAGTCGCGATATCTTAATAATTGTACTAGCGCAATACCCGAAACTCGAATTCCACTTAAAATATAAGATCGCGCAAACAGTTCAGGCCCTCAAAGCATTAAAAGTCGTCGCAATCGAAAGCCTTAAACCCTGTTAAGCCTCAAACTCACTCCCCAAAAGCCCTACACCCTAAATCCCAAAACACCCTAAACCTCCAACCGCAACCACTAAACCCCTAAACCTCAAATCCAAAACCCTTAAACCCTTAAACACTTAAAGCCTAAACCCCTAAGCCCTAAACTCGAAGCCAGGCTCCCCTCCGAGGAGGAGGACATGGCCGGCGTGTCCATTGACGAGCGCGACGCCGTCTCGTGGCTTCTTTTTCGGGTTTAGAGGGGTACCGTGTAGCCTAGTTTAGGTTTTAGGGTCTAGGGTTCAGGGTTTAGGGTAATTTGAGGGTAGTCCTAGTGCTTATATGACCTACTTCGTAAGTCCCCTGGGCCTTCAAGACAGGATCACGCCCTAGGAAAGCCCGTGGCCCTTTGCGACGGAGAAAGGCAAGGAGGGTGCGGTGGAGTAGTTTTCGAGATGTTCGTTAACCTGTAGAGTTCACCATAAGCATCCTGTGATTCCTTCTGGCTCACAAGGCCGAAGCATAAGGCCACGGCTCCGACTTCAGCGACGGAGTCCTAAGGTGGTCGGAAAGGTCTACAGGCTGCTCATGGAGATCGAGTCCCGAGCGCTGCCGATGGGCTTGCACCAGGCCCCTTTTTGAATGTGCTCTGGAAGGACGACGACCCCCTCAAACCTCAAACCGAAGTCTGCTCCAAGTTGCGACTGCCCCAGTTTTCCAGCAACATTGTCGAGGCACAGCCCTTGTTTCATCTACTCTGCTTTCCAAGGACGGGAACAACAGTCATGAAGTCAGCGCTAGTGGTAAACAGCACAGTCCCCTTCTTTCGAATAGCATGAAAGGCAATTCCAGACTTGGAACAAGCGGTCGTAGTAGCAGCCGCGGCAGCGGCATGAGCAGAAGTCGCCCTAGTCGAACCCTGCCACAAACGAAGCCAAATCGACCAAGTACGCCCGTCAAGTTCTGTAAGCACATCGAGGCCGGGACTGCGAACAGGCTGGTTTGCAAACTAATATCACACCATGTCAGTATTGTTTGTTATCATCAACAACACCACCACCACCACCATCAACATCATCATCGTAGCTGACTATGCACACTGGCCCCACTAGACTGAGAATGCTCATGTGCGTAGTTCCCTAAATTAGGGTCCCTTTTTTTGTCCCCAATATAGTTCGGCACCCTTATAAAAAGGACCCCAAACGGGACCCTGTTTTAGAGAACTACCCATCTAAGAACCTTTACAGTAGTACCCTTATAGAAGCCCTATAGAAACTTTTGTGGATCCCTAAAAAAGGACCCTAAAATAGGACCACCCCAATGTTACCAAAACAGTTCGTAGGTCGGCGTGCCGCCCACTGCAGAAGAGAGCATTGCCACGTCGCTTTGGCTCACATTCGGGATTTGGGGCTTTAGGGGTTTAAGGCTTTCGGGAGTTGTTGGGGTGATGCATTTTAGCTTCAGGTTTAGGTTGGCTTGGGGCAGCGCCAGACCGCAAAGCCTGACAAGGCAGCTATTGCTGGCAGTTGCAGCTTGAAGAAGCCTGCCAATCCAGGTAGATCTGGTCGATGTGTTTCTGCATTGGCCTTGTTACCCTGGCCAAAGCCGACACATGTGACAATGAGGCTGGTTAACATTGCGCAGCTGGACCGCCCTGTGGGGGACTCAGATACAGACTGAGACTGGATACGACGGCAGCCGGTGTCCCGAATTATGCCCACCTTTTCTGTAGCCCAGACACTGTCTGCGCTGGCATGAAGCTGCCTCTCTCCTAGGAGATGAACATCAAGAGCCTGCCACGTCTCCTTGCAGAGTGCAGAGGCAAAGACATCGAGGTGCCCCAAGCTGCTTGTGGCAAGCCCTGTAGATTTGAACTAGCTAGCAGGTAGGCTGTCGGGCTTTCGGTCCAGGGTATGGGACGAGTTGCAGAAAAGCACCACATGTGTACCACGGCTCGGAAACTACATTCATGCAAAAGCCATGCACTGGAACCTTCCTTTTGAGATTCACCTTAAACCCTAAATCCTAGTTGACCCTAAATTGAACCTAAACCCTAATTGAACCCAAAGCCCTAAACCCTTGCGAGGCTGTCTACAAGGGCAACAACGAGGGAGCCCTCGAGGCTGATCATCAGTATGGTTGCTGCTAATATTTTGGTTATTATCATCATTATTGTTATCGTTGTTCTTGTTATTGTCATTATGATTATGACTATTATTGAGTATAGGGGCCTGAGTAAATCGTAAATACGATTGTGTAGGGTTAGTGGTACTAACTTATGATGGTTTAATACTGATGTTTAAAACATTTTAAGTTATGGTATGATCTACCCGAAAGCACTGCTCTAGTTGTTTAGTGCTATGTTAATGAACTGCTCATCTCGTCTAAGGTTTTGTTCGTCGCAAAGTGAGGTTTGCTGCTTTTCTTCCAGGGAGCAAAACATGACGAGCCAGAGGCGGAAGCGGAGCACAACGGCAAATGACACCATGGTAGGTTCGGTGTAGGAAATGATGCCTGCAAGCTCCATGAATCAGGCAAATTGAATCTGATACCTGGAACCTTTACGAGGTGAATTGAACTTATTTACAGATGCATCTCTCTTGTAGATAGAGGTCGCCGCGGTGTGCGGACCTTGGAAGGAAGGATCTCTTGCAACCCTGACCCACTTCTGATGCCAGCCCAGCCGTTTTCGCGCAGTGCCCGGTTATCTATCTTAGGCACCTTTTGAGAACTCCCAACTTCTGGATCGCTATCTTGAGCAGAAATGTCCATTCTCATTATGTTGGTTCCTAGGACTTGTTTTGACCATCCTAAGTTCTTCCGTCGGATTGTCAGCCCTCGGGCGACGAAGCCTTATAGGCTTAGAGAAGGAAAACCCTCTGGGCAGCAGAATGCTTAGCAGCTCCGACGAGCAACTCGAAACCCAAAGCCTTCAACTTTGCTGTGTTTGGGGAAGTTCGTGGAATGCCAGAGTCCCCCAAGAGCCAGCATCCCTTCAAGGTAATCCCCGACTAAATATGGATGCTATCCTTCGCAGGATGTGGCCCTTGTCCAGGAGGCCTGGACTTTTGCGCCTTTGAGGGTGGTGTGAGCTGTTTCGACTTGTAGCTTTTGCGTTGCGGCTCGCGTCTTGAGAACTGAGCAAGTCTCTTGTTCATTGCGGTGCCCTCCCGTCCAGATCACCCTGGCGAGCCGCGCGGCAGTCGGGGCGCTGGTGAAGCAGTCCACGAACGCGGAGCCTTGCCCAGAAATGTTAGTTGAGGTTTCAAGGTCTGAAGTTTCACGGTTTTGGTTTAGCCTTGGAATTCAACGACCAACGTGGAAAGAAGAGCTTCGGGCGTGTTGAAGACTCAGGAGACATGTCAGGATGCCAGAAACTTGAATCGCACGAATCAATCCTCACTTGTGCCAGGAGGGACGCGTTGAGGAGGTGAACCCCTTCTTGCAGGAGCTTCAGCCCATCTGGGAGCTCGAATGGTGGATAGTAGCTTCATGTGCTAGCAGAAGAGCTGCCTCTGAAAGCCCCAAATGCAAACATCCCTGAACCTTAAAGCCCTGGACCCTGAACTTTCCCCACAGTTGGTGAGAGGATGTTTTCAACTTCTTCTCTGGCGGCTCTCCGTACAAGCAGGCCCTTGAGGAGGCCCAGAGTTTAAGATGGGAGCCCTCAACGATCTGAACAGGGGTTGGGGGCTTATGATAGTATAGTAGAGTTGTCAGGTAGAGCATAGTATAGTATATAGTATGGTATGGTATAGCGGTATAGCTTAGTATGGTAGAATCAATGCAGCACAGTATGGTATAGTTATAATAAGGAACCCTAACAAAGATTCTTCTCAGGCTTTATCTCTAGGACTCTGACCCAGAGACTCCAAAACCCCCTAACCCAAGACACTATAGGGGGCCTTAATAATTACCTATATTCTCTCTTGGGGGTTTTATATTAGAGTTCTAGTATGATATACCCCAAAACCCCTGTTCTAATCATGAAGGCCCGTATAGTACCTTTATAAAGTAACCCTATAGAAACCTTATAGATCCTTTTAAGGGTCCCCTAAAAAGGGACCCTGTAGTATGCTGCTTGAAGGATGTTGGAGTCGATGGGGACAGAGGGTAAAGGGTTCGTTGTTGTGATTATACGAAACTAGTTACAATTCTACGTATATTATGCTATGCCATACAGCACTTTACTATAGTATACCACACTATGATAGAAATTCAAAATTTAGTATGCTAAAGGATACTATCGTATGATATAGTATACCTTAAAACCCTACTATCCCCGATCCTCCTGATAGACCTGAAGGGCCATGAAGCTCACCATCTCAACTGTGACCCACTATGACTATGGCTTCTGACTAATTCCATCTTTTAGGACAGCTTCTGCTGTAATTTAACTTTGTTTGCCTGGTCGTGATTAGGATGTCTTGCAAAAGGTTTGGAATTCAGGGTGTTGGACTTCGCGATTCGCGAACTCTGTACGGAGCCGTGGATGCCTAGCTGACACCGAAATCTTTCGATATCGGTGCTGATGTCCAGATCAACAGTACTTGCTCGTAATCCTTGTGCATGTTCTACTCGCACTCAGTCTTGTACTTCTGGTGTTGAAGAGGAAGCTCCCTTTCTCTCTTGTTCTTTGTCTCTAGGTGCACATTTACACACATGAATGTTCCGTATTCATTGGGCCATCTCTATCTGCATACGCTCTGTATACTTAAATATAGTTTGTATATATGTATATATAATGTAGTATGCACACCCAAGCAGACATGCATGTATGTGTGTAACTGTATAGTGTGTACGTAGTGATCTGACAGTGTGGCTTCGATGGCGTCAGCGATGACTACCTGAAGCCCCTCTTCGAGTGACCCAGATCCATTTCGAAGGTTCGGTTCAATGGGGTTGGCGGTTGGCAGGAACTTTAAATGGGTAGTTCTCTAAATCAGGGTCCCTTTTAGGGTCTTCTTAGAAGGGTGCCGTATACTAGATTGGGGACCCAAAAAGGGGCCCTAGTTTAGAGAACTACCCAAATCCGAAAGCCCCAAGCCGGGCACCCCAAGGGCTGCTGCTTCGAGAGCACTGGAGTTCGACTCTAGGGCTTTCTGAGTTTAGGCGCTGAGGATGTGCTTGGAGTTCACAGATTCTGTCGCGGGAGTCTTGAGGTGTTGAAGAGGGGGGAAACGGCCGCGTCGGATCTGGATGAGCCAGACTTCGCAATAGCTATCCCAAGAAGAATCAAAAAACACCGCGCGCGATGATCCTAAGGCCCTTAAAACCATGGAAGATTTAGGGTTAGGGCTTAGGACTCAGGGCTTGTAGGGTATAGGGTTTGTAGGGTTTAGGGTTTATAATAGGGTTTAGGTAGGCCTCGTTTTGCTCCAGGTACTTGCAGGCTTGCCTCGGTGAAGTCGTGCGCAACAACGAGGCCACGTTCAACCTCCCTGGTCTTGGTGAGCCTATGCTGCGGTATATGATCGTATGTACAGTATGTGGTATTGTGCTTTTGTAATTATATCATCGTACATTATAGTATTCTGTTGTAAAGTATCACTATATATGCATTTTTCGGGAGATCAGTTCAGGGCAGTCAAGGCAACCGGCTCAGTCTTTGTTTGATGCGTTCTTGCCGCAGCGGCAGGTCGGAAGCCTGATTAGCGCCCTCGATGGCAAGTTCATCGAGCCAGGCAGGTGATTCGATCGACCACTTAGGATCTGCTACAGTATATATACATATATATATAATATGTGAAAGGATCGTTAGGATCATATCTCGCCAATATGCCATCTTGTGAAGTCTTTTTGGCGCGGTGTTGCCAGAGCTGTCCAGCTAAAGATTTAACTGCCAACACTGTTTTGGGGTTCCTTATTCTAATTATTAAGGCCCGCTAAAGACGAGTTCCCTCGCACGAAGCAGGCCCTGGTGGTGACCCCATCCGCAATCCGGATGCTCCTCGGCTGTTACTTGAGTGTTTGGGGGTATGATGAGGCTTCTATGGGGTTGCTGCAATGGCACAATAACAAGGGGCCCTACAAAGTACCGTGCGATCCTCTAGTGCTACAAGCGGTATGGAGGGAAAGCTTCTGGGATTCTGGGATTCTGGATCCTCTCAGTTTCGTGTGCCCAACTTTCGAAGCTCCGATGCGCAGCCTTTGATCCGATCCTTTGGCAAGGTGCTCCCGACGGGCAAGAACATGCACGCCCTGGACCCGAACTCCATCCCAACGAAGGCAGGAATCAAGCTTAGGGTTTTGAGTGTGACCCCAAGCCACATGTGGCTCTTTCTACATTGACATGATCCCCGGTTCCTTAAAGCGTCCTTCTTTTTCTGAGCTTTGATGCTGCGTCGAATCAATTCTCCAACGATACATTATAATGTCTGGTTTGAGATTGTTCGAGGTTAGCCAGAAGAAGGCATCATCATAGATATAGGCATCAACTTCATCATAACCTTCCATCGTCGGCGTCATCAGTACCATCACCATGCTGACCGTGACATACTTAGTACAGTCCCGGTGTTTGAGGGTTCAGTGCTGAGAGGCACATGAGGACAAAGAATGCAGACACTTGCTTTTGATGGGAACACCCGTGAAGACATTTCGCGCAAAGGATGTTGTGTTAGACATGAGGCGCGGCGAGCGGGATGCGCTTTTCTTAGGGTCCGAGACATTTTCTTATGCCAACTTTCTTGTTTTAGCTTACATCATTTTATTTTGTGTTAGTGTCATCTCATATCATTCTGTAACATACTCTATCATGTGATTTTATATTATGGTATACCGTGTTATGTTTGGCTTCACAGTCAACACCCCCACACACACACACACACAAAGGTTGTGGTCCCATCCTCGACCCCCCAAAATCGGCACAAAGGCCGCCACTGACCCCAAACCCCAGACCCTAATGGCCGAAGCTTCGAAAGGCAGCCACTGACGTGGCCATGGTCGTGGTGGACCGCCTTTTGGAGTCGCTTACTGAGCAGCAGGCCTGGCGAGGGCACTCTAAGGGGACTTCTGAGGGGTATCAGAAGGGGATTCTCCGGATATTATGAAGGTATCATAGAGACACTACGGGTAATAATTCCGAGGGTACTTGCAAAGAGGGATGGGATATCACTGGAAGCTATCTGAGACGCCTACGTCCTACGGCTCGTACGTTAGCCCCCAGGTTTGACAGCCTGGGTATTGGAAGTGATTGTAAAAGCAGCAACAGTGGTACTCGTAATACTGGAAACGGTAGCAATAACAATCATAACGTTATCATAGTTCTGGCGCTAAGAGCGTGGTCCCCAGAGTTTGGTCTTGCGCTGTCGGGCACATAGCAGTTAGAACGGGTAGAGCAGGAAAGAGGCTTCTTGAAAAGCTGACTCCCGCCTCCGCCTTAGACTCGAAACTCAAGTACATCACATGCAGGTTGTTCTTAGTCGGGGTTCCGTGCTTTAGGGGTGTTCCTCATCCTCCGTTCATCTGAAAAAATGCAAACACATACCTTGGATATGACCCTTGGTTGGAGCACAAATCCTTGGGCTCCGAGACCATGTTCTGTCGCGATGAATTGTATTTGGTTTTTCATTCGGATGTGAATAACCATTGGTCAGACTTCGCCGTGGAGAAGACCGAAGAACACTGAACTACATCATTATGCACACATCGGCTTGAGCATCAGCCTTATTGGAGCATTGTACACACATGCCTGCATTTGTGCATGTGCACACGCGAGAGCCTTTGGCGTAATCCAGGGAGAACGAAGGAACCCCCTTGATGTGAACAAGGTTCATCTTCCGAAATGTTACAACGGCTGTGTTCATGTTCAAGGACTAGTTGATGAGAAGAAGACGACGGAGGACTAATTCCGGATTAGTGAGCTATGTTTGTCCAATCTGCATATCAGTATACATGTCATCGTGTTCATGAGCATTCTGACGCACCGGTTTCGTCAGCATAAACTTCATCGTCCTGCATCATCAGGGCGAGATGCCAGAGTCGATTGCCTTCACCCTTTGGGGCACCGACAATATCAAGACTTACGGCGAGTCCTTGGCGCAGGCCGGATCATTGGCTGGATTTTGGGAGGGGGGCGGGGGGCATTTCTTGGCTTTATGTATCGTCGAACGCAGATGATTCTAAGCTGACCGTTGGCGATGGACCTGTGCAGTGTGTGCCCGGTATTGACGGAACTCCAGGTTGGGTGCAGCAGGATGGCCACTACGGCTCTAAATCAGACCGGGCTTCTCGGAAGGTGCTTGCGCTGGTCGGTGCGCGACCAGTTCCGGACTCCCTGGGACGCGTGAACAAGGTTTGCATGGGGGATGTTTCTTTTTTGGGTGGGTTCGTCGGTTCTCATTGCTCCGCTCGAATGCAGGCCGAAGTCCCTTCAGAAAACGGTGGAGATACGAAGTGTGTTCTAGCTTGTGCGCCTCTGCGGGCGCCAGGGGATGGGTTCCCTCATAACTTCCCTTGTTCAACCTATCAGGTCGAGCTGATCCCTCTCGAAGAGCTGGGACGGCCACGAGTCGATGCATCTTGATCGACCTTCCAGCAAGCCTTTGGCCTGTTTTGATGCGTCTCCGTTTATTGGCAACTCGCATCTAGCCCCCATTGCCCCTTGTGTTCCAACATGGACTCGGCATCTAGGGCCAGGGCTGCTTCCCACACCAGTTGTAGTTGGTATGATATGACCTGCCATGGCTTTGTGCGTCGGGTGCTCACTGCAGTCCCGACAGTTGCGTGGAACCTGAGCCCAAAGTCGGCAGCAGTGGCTTTCTGCGGGTATCACATCCGAGCTTAGGTGGTGTGCAATTGCTCGGGTGTCTTCCGTGATCTCTTCATCAATCAGATGAACCTGCTCGACCGTGCTATCAAGGCTGGTGACTTTGCAACATTGCGGCGTTGTTATATCTTTGCTGGCGAGTTGTGTGCTTCGGACATCAGCAGGCGGCAGCGGAGGCGGACGAGCCCCCAGAGCAGAACTTTGTCCGCAAGCATGCGATGGAGCAGGCAGGAGTCAGCTGCTGCGTCTGAAGCCGGTGACCTTTTTATTAGCATGCCCTTTGAACTTTGACGATAAGGCCCGGATGAGTGAGCTTTTCAGCCTTCTCAGTCTCGGTCCTGTTGATGCCAGGCGGAGGAGCTCAACATCTCTCTCAGACAGGCTCGAGCTTGAAGACTCGTCGGTGCTTGTGCCTGTTGGAATGCTAATACCACGTAAATCCAATGAATCACGAAGGCGTCGTTAAGTTCGGACAGACAAGCCGTGGTGCATGCGTCGGTAGGCATGTATGTATATGTGCGTACTAACGGAACCCGCAGCTTGCTGCAAGGGAGACCTACGCTGTCGGACTGATGCGAGTCTAGCACAGTGTTCGACCGTGTACTGTTCACATGGGTCAAGTGAAAAGATAGCAATCTCCGAGCAAGAAGCGCCACAAACAGGCCGCGACGCGTGTTTTCTCCAATGCGGCGGGATCATATTCCGCAAACGTTGGCATTGCCGTTGAGAACGGTGCCAGCGTTGACGAGGAGCAGCTGCAGGCCTGGCTGCTCGGAGCTTGCGGGGCCTTTGCAACATGGGTAGGCAGTCAGAAAGTGTTTCAGCCGGGGAGATGTACAGTTGCAAAGAGCATTTGAGGTTGAATGGCGTCGTCGCCCGTTGCTGCTCCTGCGTAGTAAACTTTGTATGGCATTCTATTGTTGTCATAGTCGTATAGCCTGAAGAGAGAAGGCGTTCAGCACGCTTTGCTTGAAAACCAATGTCGGCTTTGCTTAATTGCTGGTTTCTGTGTTTTCTGGCATCGCAGGTACTATCATAGCCGTATAGGAGGTCAGGTGATGGGAGCAGGATAGAATCGACATGTCGCCATGCTACACGGCAGGAGCAGTTCGTCACTCGCAAGGGATTTGCACTCAGCCCCTTGTCTTTGTAAAGCCTTCTTGCACTGTTCAGCAGCTCTTTGAAAACCAGTAGCGAATGCTTGATGCCTGCATCAGGAATATGAACAATATGCCAGCAAAATTGCAGAGTTTTTCTTTAAGTGTTTGTGCGCCCGCTCACATCAGATCGAGCTTTCAGTTGACATGCGAGATGGACTGTTGCGAAGCTGCTGAGGCTAGTAGCTCTCGCTCTCTCTCTCTCTCTCTATAATTTAATATTCTCTATATGTGTATATAAAATTATCAATATTATATATATATACACAGATTATACGCACATACATATTTCGAGTTATATAGTAAGGCTCGGATGCGCCCGGCGAGCTCATTGAGTCCTCGGGCCTGTTCAAGTCCGCTCTCAGCAAGGCGGGCACGCAGCAGCACATCCACCCCGACCCTCCGTCGTTGTAACCATTTCTGCAGAGGTGCAGACTTACATAAATTCTGCTTCCGGATTCCTTCCACCCTTGCGGTGGATTCCGAGGTCGACGTGACCTTCCAGAACCTGGACTCCAGCGAGATCTCCCTGACGGACGTCTCCCACTACTTCGACAACGACCCCACTAAGGTCGTCTCCAACCTCCGCAAGGCGAGGATGGCACGAGGCTTCGCATGTTTAAGGTTGAAAAGAAGCAACAGGACAAGGACATTAGAAGGACGGCGTCAGAATTCCCATGATGAGCTTCAGGGTATAAGGGTTTATGACATGGGGCATTTCCACTGAGGATCAGGAGTAAGAGAGAAATAAAGCATAAAACCCTATAAAACCCTATAAAGCCCTATAAAACCCTATATTGCACCACGGCAGGATGGGAAGAAGCCGGCGGCTCTGATCGCTGACACGACCACGGCCAATGCCCAGGTCCGATCCCTCTCCGCCCAGGCTGGGTTTAGGGTTTAGGGTTTAGGTGGGGTATCCGTCAAGTGGATTCTGGCGCTCTTGTTGGAATTAGGAGCTGCTGCTAAGAGCACTGTCACCCTCAGGCTGGTAGTGCATTACTAGTTGCGGCTACCCTTTTCGCTTATTCCTGGCATTGAATCATTGGGACCGTTACAATGCTCCTCTTCCTCCTCCTCCTACTCCTGAATAAGGGTCCCGTTGCAGGCCTGTACCTCGGAGGACATGTTTAGAGCAAGTCAGCCATCGAAGTCACTTCAAGTAGTTTGTCACTCGCAACATGTCCCGGAGTCCCCAAGAGCCGGTGTAAACTCGGATCGCACGAGACCTTACCGAACGTTTAGTTCCATTGTCGCTTGTGCTGGAGGTCAGGCTGGACAGCAGGACGAAGCTCCTGTGCTTCGGATGCATATGTTCACAAGTCCCTCCGCTTTGCATCAAGTTCTAACGCGCTGCCAAGCTCACGGTGGGCACGGACTAGACGCGAGCACCGACCAGCCAGACTGCAGCTGCCGCACACCTTTAACTACAGGAGATGCAAAGAGAATATGGGAGAAGCGCCCACTCGATCTCAAACCGGCGAGCCGAAATCAAGAGTCGAAACTGATTCGAACGATAGGGCCTCACACGTTTCTTGACCGACTTGGAAACCAGGTGCACGTTGAGCTTCGGGCAAGGACAACATCGAGAGAGTAGTATGCCAGCAAGTTGAACCCCAACATTTCATCAGCACGAGGAACAGCTTGCGTATTGCCAAATCAAACCATGCTTCCGTAATTCTGTAATCGTGGCCCTCCTCCTGCGTTTTTACGTACAGACCGATAGGCCAATTCATGTCCAGACCCAGCGCGAAAGCGAAAGCGATGATCACAGCAGGTATTCTTGCCTAGGACATACCTAGGACCTCAAAAGGGCGGCGGGCTGCTTCGGGATCACAAACTCGAAGAGAGGCCCCTGTCAGAGCTGAGGGCTTGTCGATGTTCCAGAGTTCGGCCTAGCCCTACCCATAGGCCCCTAAGTAGTTCCTTTTTGAGATTACCTTATAGGATTCTAAATATAAACCATAAAAAGGATCTACTTAGGGGCCTATGGGTAAGCCCTAAGCAGCCCCAAACCGAAACCCTGAACCCTACACCCGAAACCCTAAGCCCTAAACGCTGTATCCTGCCTCCGTCGGAGCCTTTTCTGAGGAACCCCAAGTTCTACGAGGCGAACCTGAAGGGAGGTTACGAGGGCGTCCGGGAGATCTCCAAGCGACCCTTGAAGAGGCAAAGAAGCCAACCAAAGCCCGCAAGAGAAGGATGGTAGTTCTCTAACTTAGGGCCTCTTTTTGGGTACCCAAAGTAGCAGGGCACCCTGATGAAAAGGACCCTGAAAGGGACCCTAATTCAGAGAACGCCCACAAAGTGCCCTTCCAGCTGTTGAGCTGGAGGTGCTTATGTAACCGCCTGTAGATCCATCTATCGACCTATCTCTCCATCAGTCTATCTGTATCTATCTCTACCTAGCTGCCTGTCTATCGACCTATCTACCTGCATACGTACCTATATTATACCTATCGGTCCGTCAGTCTACTTGCCTACCCACCTATCTATCTCTATCTATCTGTCTGTCTAGATCTGTCTATCTATCTATCTATCTTTCTATCTAACTACTTATCTACTTACCTACCTACCTACCTACCTATCTATCTATCTATCTATCTATCTGGTCCTCTATCCATCTATCTAGTTGTCTGTCTATCTACCTATCTATTTATCTATCTTTCTTTCTTTCTACCTAGGCCTCTATCCATGTATCTATCTATCTATCTGTTTGTCTGTCCATCTATCTATCTACTTATCTATCTATCTATCAATCTATCTATTCCTCTATCTATTAAGCTCTCCCTCGCATATAGTCAATGACCAAACTTGTAGATACGTGCATGCTGCATGAGAGTGTATGTATGTGTGCATGCATGTATGTATGTGTTCACATGTGCAGATGTGCAAAGGTGTCTGCGTGTGCGTGTCTGGGTATGAATAGGTATATAGGAAAATATGTATGTGTACCTTTGCCTATTTGCATGTGCATGTGCCTGAGCATGTGGATGATTAAATTTCTGTGTCGCATGCATGCGTCTAGGCATGACAATAATATATATATATATAAATACGTACACGCATACACGAATTGTGTGTTTTGAAATGGCCACCCCCCCCCCCAAAGAAGGGAGTGGTGATATCCACGCGCGTGCATATGCACATGCATGTACGCATACACTATACATATACAGCACACGCATGTGGCGCGTACGTACATACAGACATACATATACACTTACAAACTTACGCAGGGACGTTTTTTCATACGACAGAGAGACAGAGGCGGAGACCTGGAGAGAGACAGACAGACCGACCGAGACAGACAGCGACAGACAGAGACAGATAGACAGACAGACACAAACAGACAGAGCCAGACAGAGACAGATAGAAACAGATAGAGAGAGAGAGACACACACACACACACACAAGACTCGCAACACACCTTCTGTAATCCGTCATGATGTCTTACGCACATTCCCGAACCTGCAAAATGCAAGTTGATGTCTGTCAGCAAAGCAACCAGTACACAAAGTGCTCCGGCATGCGCCAAGGAATGAGGTTTACCTTCGGTTGGAGCACAACAGCGGATGCCGCAGCGCGGTTGCATGTGAGTGCAACTGTCAGATAGACATCGCGAGTTCCAGGTTCAAGCCCCTCCCAGGCCTCGAACACCGAATCGTCTCGTCTCACAGTGGTGGGCTCAGTGGCAACCGCGAACAGCACAGAGTCAAGCCAGGTCGACAACTTCGTGTACGAAGACTGCAACACGCAACTTGGGGATGATTGAGTTGCCAGTTGACGTTTTTTGTGACTTCGGTTAGCATCATGCAGGTTTTCTGTCGTCTGTCCCATGACCTTGTGGATCGTTCAGGACCTACATCCAAGATGAAGAGATTAAGAACAAGAGACTTGGATTTGAACATCTTCGGCTGCTTTGCACTGTGCTTGCCGGACAAAGTGTCGAGAATCTACTAACGAGGATGTCTACCACCAGAGGTAGAGTCTAGAATGATTGCCTTCTCCACTGTGCGCTGCTGGAGTTGTAGCTTAGCAACTCGTTCCTTGGATTGCTTCCGCGGCTGCTTCTGTTCTACGGCAGCTGGTTCTGTTTCAGCCCTCGGCGGCTTGACAGGATGTTGGAAGCGAACCCGGATGCCTTGAGGGACATGGCAAGACGCTCAGTGTCTCGTGAGATCAGTGCTTCTGTGGGCACACGGTGACATGTCATAATCTAGTCTTAGCCCGGAATGACACGCTTGCGCTTGTGAAGGCCCTTCCCTCTGCGAAAATCCAAGCATCGCTGTAGACCCCAAGGGCAAAAAGGCGAATCCGCGAAAGCGCCGCTGCGCGGAGTCACGAGCTGCTGCCTTTGTGCTCTTACCGGTCCCACTCTCAAGGCCGTCTCGCCGAAGCCAAAACCTTGTCTCTCTCATTTCCGTTGCTTGCATTCCTCAGTGGAAGGAACCGTTGCTGACGCTCGTCAACCAAGTCGGCCGTTGCTTCAACGATTTGGCAGTGTGATCGCGAGATGGTGTTGGAGCGCTTCACTTCCACATCGCATAAGACATGGACGAGCGAATGCGTCAGCTAACCCTCAGCCTTGTGGACAGGCTTCCTGAAGAGCCCCTTCAAAACTGCACCTACGGACATCTCGGGGTCCCCAGTTCCGGTTCTGAGGCGTAACTGACTGCGGTAAGATCTCCACTTCCAGCTCTCGCGAGCTTCTGCCATGCTCAGTTTTCCCGCACTAGACAACTTAAACAGGCGTGCATGACATGAATTTGTCTGAATCCTCCGTCGCTAAGACGTGTGTGACGTCAAAGTATTCCAGTGTGAAGGAGGGCTTGAAAGAACCAGGGTGATTTGCTTTGAGGCCCGACATTCTAGAAACAGGATAGTGACATCACCCGCCTTAGAGTCAAGGTGCAGACGTTCCTGGAAGCCAATGCAAAGGGCTACTGGGACACAGACGAGGCCACCATTGACATAGCTGAGTGCCGTCTCACAGAGGCTGCTTCCGAGCAGAAAGTCTAGGGCACCAATGCTTGAGATGTTGCTGTTAGCAGTTAGCACCTGTCAAGCCAAAGCTTTACCCAAACCTTATAAGTTCTAAACCCCGAGCCCCTCAGCCGTAGTCTCCCTCCCCGCTTTCTATGGTCAGGAGAACCTCCAGAAACTCAGGGATGTCTACCAGGCCGGTCCTCCGTCCTTGGGGCTCGTCGGGTATGCTGAGCATGATCCTGTCGCCTTAATCGTTTGAGATGCCATGCTGATGCATCTCTACATTTTACATAAATAGATAAATATATACATATATATATATATATATTTTTATTTATTTATTTACATGTATATACATATACCTATATGTATATATATATATATATGCACACGCACATGTGTCATGGATTTATATTGTTGTACATTAGTAGGCATAAAATTGCGAATTCATAGCTTTAGTATATCATATATGCTATTACATATGTGTATATGGTTATGTGTACATACAACATATATATATATAAGTACGTTCTGCTATTGATTTATATTCGTGTTTATGTATGTTCATACATTTGTATGTAAATGTCTGTATACATACATACATATATATGTATACACATGTATGTACCGTTATATTGCCTCAGGAGTGCGAGGACAAGATTGAGGGCGTCGACTTCGCGGCCTAAGTCCTCGGAGCTGCTCGCCTGCAGGGAGCGTCAAGACCCGATGTCGAAAGTTGGGCCTGCCTGTGTTTGTCCACGTAGGTTGGAATTTGGGTGGCAGGAGGCAGCCTTTCAAACCTTGCACAGGTTGCAGAGACCAAAATCCATGCGGAAGCATTGCAGCAGTTGTGATTTGTTCTTGCACTGTGCATGGCCGCCATTCCCAAGGCATTGCTTCGCCTGCTCCGAGTGAGTTCGTTACTGTTTGGGGCACGAGGCTTCTCGTCATTAGTCTGGCCACATGTAAGACCCAGCCAGGCAGATCACAGGAAGCAGTCGCAGCTACCGTAGGTCAAAGAAGAACAACGACAAAAGCCTGACAGCATCACCTGGCCGTGTTAACTCCTGCTGCTGTTGCTGCGACCACTGCGACTACTTTTGCTGCATGTAGTGCTGCGACAGTGACTGCGACGATTGCCGACTGCTGCGGTTTCTGTTGCTGCTGCATTAGGGGCTCACGGGCCGTTACGGCTGTTGGCGTTGCCCTTGCAGAGGCTTCGCGAGCCACCATTCAACACGGTACACGAGGAGGAAGAACAGCAAGACATGCTACCACTGCTACTCTCGCGAGTGTCGCTGTTGTTCTCATCAGCACTGCCAATTTGTCTCTTCTCTCAGTGTCTCAAAGATATGTTTAGAGTCTTATAGAGTTTAGAGACCTACTTCTAGTCCATCGGACCCCACCTTACCTTGGCGAGAGCAACCCGGAGGTGCCATACTCGTTGGAAAAACCTTTCTAAAGGGCACATCCGCTGCGAAGCATTCCTTTGATCTTGCCGTTGTTCAGCTTAACCAGCTGGCTGAGGACCTACAGTTGCGAAGTTTGCGCAAAAGAGCAGCTGCCGAGCTACTGTAGATCTTCAGCACCGTAACGAGCTGGTCTGAATTCTTTAAGTAGCCCACCACAGCAAGCAGAGGTCAAAGCATAAAGTGCTGCTTTGGCGGTTCTCCTGATTCAGAGATGTGTTCACCTGCTCTGGCGTTCGGGGCGCAGTGCGGAATCCCTGTCCAAGTTGATCTTGCTCCTTGGCACAAGCCAAAGAGTCGATCGGGAGGATAGGAAACCCAAAGGCAAGTCTCAACCTCAGCCATTCTCCCTACGACCTGAGGGAACAACTTGGCAGAAGTTGCACTTTTTTGAGTCGCTGCCGAGCTTCGTAGCTTGGCTGTGACACACCATTCCAGCGTGGCGAATTTGTGAGAGCAACAGCCCAAATACCCCCTCAAAAATTCAAAATGCTGCCTGCCATCACCTGGCGGATTGGCGACCCACCTTAATTAGAGCCCGAAGACCGAAGTGCTGTAAGAGTCCTGTTAAGCACCAACATTAAGGCCGAATTATGGCCAGCTTTTAAGGTTGCTCCACTGCGCCTTTGAGCCCGCGCATCTGCGCGCACGCGGAAGAAAGGGAAGAGTGTGATGGTCTTGCGATGACGGCAAAGTGCACGGTGACATTCGCAGACTCAAATATTTAGATTATTCAGATTGGTGGATTCGCGAAGCGCTCGATGATTGTGGGGAGGTAGGATCAAACGCAGGATCACACTGACTTGCACAGCGCCCGTTGTTCTTGGACTTCCCTCGCATATACCCTGTGAGGACACGGGTCACGAACCAAAATCCGGATTCAAGATATTATATCTTATGCTTTTGTGTTTTGCTATGTCATGTTACACAAGGTATAGTACTGTATTATGTACTACAATGTTAGAATCCCTACAGAAGCTACACTGCTTGCATACGCCGAGGACCTCGCCGCACTGCTCGAAGAGAAAGAAGTGCTCCGAGGAGCACCCCCCTGTTAAATGCTGGGTTCTGGGTTCAGAGTGTCCTTTTTGTCGTATACAATAGATAGTGCAATCTAGCATTACATATATGCATATGTCTATTAATATATATGTGTGTATATATATATGTACATACATACATATATATATATATGTGTGTGTATTTTTTGACAATGATCTTATTCGGTGTGGATATACATATGTATGTATATATATATATGATATGACATGATATGATATAGCTTCCGAGACGGGATGCCTTGAGCATCGCCCCAGATGGGACTAAGGTATACTCAGGCCCATGGACTGCATGGCAGATTTCCTACAGTGTTTGTACTGACCAGTTGTGCAGTTGCCGAAGCCGCGAGCCTCAGAGATCCGAGTAGCGCTAGTAAACAGAGCGGTTTTGGGTTTGGGGTTTAGGGTTTAGGGTTTAGGGTTTTGGTTTAGGGTTTAGGGTTTAGGAATCTCTTATCTAGTGGTCATGCCAGCCATTGCCACAGCAGCGTTAGTACTGGTAGCAAAAAGGATATGCGGACAATGCAAGCACTTTACGCACACACTCGTTGCTCATGATGCTGGCAAGCAAAGAAACAAGAAGAACAGATGAACTTGGACTCCTCTAAATTCTTTTAATGCTTGTCATGTGCAGCTTGTATTGTGATGTTATATTGGGGAGTTATTGCACATGATTACTATTAAGTGTATCTGCTGCAGAGCAGGCGGACGACGACAGCATGGCACTGATTTGCAGGCCGTTGCCCTCAGTTGGATTTCAGAGAGACTCGCTTCTGACTCCGGTCGGACGCTCCAGGTGTGGAACAGAGTTTGCACCACGGCAAATGAGGCGTCTAAATTGAGTATTACAAGCGTAGCATCCTACCCCGGACGACCGACACCGTCATGCGCATAGTGAGCTTAACCGGCATTCAGCCACGAAGTTGTGGAACATGAGGATTCTTGTTTAGGTTCACAGTTGGCAACTACCGTTGCCAGGCACGGATGGTGGCGCTGCAGGACGATGCAGCCGGCACCTCCGCGTGGATGCTAAGCAAACCGGAATCAGGCTTTGCCGAAGCATGTCTGGCACAGATGCTGGTGATGTCGAGCCTGAGCCTGTCGTGCCAGCGGCCTGTCAGCCGCTGTCTACAGTATGTGTTCATATGATGTGTCAACACAGAAGATGCGAAGATGCGTGGGTGCGTGTGTGTGTGCATGAATGCATGCATGCATGCATGGCAAAATGTATGTGTGCATTTGCTTGGTGTACGTATGTATGTATGCATTCATGCATGCATGCATGCATTCACACACATGGTAGTAAAGGAAAGCCCGCACGTGTCCATCTAAACCTGTCGATATATGTGTAAGTATCCGCATCTTCATCTGCAGTATGTGTATATACATATCTTTCAGGCGCAATTCTCGCAAGTGTCCTTTATCACGGGTCCTTTTTGCACATTCCTGTCCTGGAACCAGGTTATGTTCACAGTGCGCGAACGCATCCTCAAGGCTCGCCCAGTGAGAGACCTTGGCGATCGCGGGAATTTACTTATTGTTAATTTTACTATTGTTATTACTATTGTTATTCTTGTTGTTATGGCCATTATTATTACTATAAAAATTATCATCTTTACTCGAAATAATGACGGTTGTTATTATCGTGACTATTAGCTGTTACTATTGTTTGATTATAACTGTTGTTACTATTAGTACGGTAGTATGACTGTTGTTGTCATTATCAGAACCGAATCGGTGGCAAAAGCTAAGTCTAGTGGGACTCACAACCCGAACAACTATTGCCTATATGATAACATAATATCGAAGAGATTATACAATGTAGTATAGATTGTAGAATATAGTACAGATTATGTAATATATAGTATATCCTATATACTATAGTACAGTATTACTATATGGTAGAAGTATACATACATACATACATACATGCATGCATGCATGCATGCATGCATGCATGCATACATACATACATACATACATACATATATGTATATATATATACACATATTTAAGTCTGGTCTGAAATCCGTGGCTTGGAGATGCTTGCTTCATGGTGTAATCCGTAGCTTTGACCTGGGTTTAGGGTATAGGGTTTAAGGGCTCAAGCCATTCTTTACTCGGTAAATCCGCGCGGCATCCGACGCCGCGCAGCATTCGACGGCTCGGCTGGCACTTGCAGAGATGAGTCACATAGCTGTCTGAGTGCTCACAGTCCCTGATTCCCAAATTCCTAGAATCTATCTGTTTACCTCGGGAGCGTCCCGGGACTTTCAGATCTCCGATTCGCGCACAGGCATCGGAGCAGATCCAGTTCCTCGCAAGCTTGTCCAAGGCCGCCTTTGCCCTGCATCAAGTTTGGAGAACAGTTTAAGGGAACAGAGCAGCCCGTTGATATTCATCGTGGAAAGGCGGTACAGGCTGCACTTGCAGCCGGCGTGTTTGCTGCTTGAGTCTTCGAGACGTTCCTCTTCCGACGGACACAATCGTTCCCCGGTGCAGACAACAAACGCGCTTCGAGCTGACTGCAGGTGGAGGCTGGCAAAGCACAGCGCGATTGGGAGTTGGCAGCTCAGTCGCGGTCCTCCATTCCCAGCTTCCAAGCAACCCTGTCATGGAATTTGCTGTTCGCGTGGCGGGCGAGTTCCCATGGAAGAGCAGTTTCATTTGCCAGAGGGTCGCCTCTCGCTGGTAGGCTCCATATCGTGTTAAATGTGGACCTTTCAAGAGAGTGTAAGTCTGTAAGTAGCACATCAGGTCCCCTTCCTTTGCCCACGTTGACCGCTTCAAGGCGAAAAGCCATGGCCGTCCTGATAGCATGGGCATTTCCCGAGCTGCTCGCAGAGGTGTGGCTGAAGTGATGATGAGATTTGGAAGTGGTGCTTTGCATGAGCGCTGCATGGGCGATCCAGCTCGAGGATTAATGCCCATCAGAAGTCAGAAGTGCCCGGCGGCACCTGATCTAATTTCACCGTCAAGTTCTCGTCCTGTCGCAACTACTTTTCACAAAGAAACTGCCACCGATGACAGTAGTAGCAGTTAGCTTTGTTGACTCACACCGTGCGTTTAGTAGTCTATGTTCTTGCTGCCTCGTAAACCCCAAATGGCCAGGCGATCTCTGACACGGAAGACAAGCGCGGGTGCACCGGCTTTGTGGAAGGGCATCCGGCAGTGGGGACTGTGGCAAAATTCACAACAGGGGCAGCGCCAGTCGTCGTCACACTGGCGACAGCCGTCACAGCGAATTCATTGAAAGTTAGTAGCATATTCTTGCAATATGCCCCGCTGAAGTTTCGCGTGGGTTTCTCTTTCTCATGGTTTTCCTCTACTGACTCCTTATTACAATCATGGTATGTTTTTAGCTACTGACTGCTTCTTATACTTGTGGCATGTTTTCCTGCAGTGACTCCTTAGTATACGTATGGTACATTTCCTCCACGGACTGCTTATTATACGTATGGTGTACGTATGGCGTATTTTCCTCTACTGACTGCTTGTTATACTTATGGCGCATTTTCCTCTACTGACTCCTTAATATACTTGTGGTATATGTTCCTCTAGTGACTCCCTATTATACGTACGGTATATGTTCCCCTACTATCTCCTTATTATACGTATGGTATATTTTCCTTTATTGACTCCTTATTATACTTATTGTATGTTTTCCTCTGTTGACTCCTTATTATACTTTGTGTATGTTTTGCTTCTACGGACTCCTTTTTAAATTTTACTTAGTATAGTTTCCTCTCCCGACTCCTTACTATACGTATGGTATATTTCCTTTACTGACTCCTTAGTATAATTACTTATGGTATATTTTCCTCTACTGACTCATTATGGTAAGCATGGTACAACATACCCAGAAACCGTATTCTAATTCTTAAGGCCGTTATGCCGTCGCATCAGAGAACTGCAGCCTTGCACTGCTCTGGTCCTATGGTTATTGTAGCTGTATCATATATCTGTAGAAATATATTTATTTATTTGTTTGTTTGTTCCGTTATATATATATGCACACACCTACATATATAACATATAATATATGATACATAATTCATGATATCGGAGATATGACAATCAATTTATGTTTTGTCCTTTTGTCTCGCAGCCCTTGCTCCGAGATTGGGATGACAGGAAGTACTACAAGCTCGTCAGCGGCGACGAGGTTTTTGTGGACACCAAGGACTCCAGAAACCAACCTGCGGAAGGGATGCGTCTGGGCACCATCAGGAACCCTTTATTACGTGTCTTGTCTTGGTTTTTTTGGGAGAGGCGGTGTGGGTGACCACCGTGGTTAGCAGCTTCCTTTCTGAACCGTGCCGGTCTCTCGAATGATGATGCAGGACAAATTGGCAGAATGCAATCGATTAATCGTGGCATCTGCCACCGGCGGCAAGGCACCAGGGTATTTTCTTCACGGAGTAGCAGGAAGGCAGAAACAGACGCTGACACTAAACAAACATTGTCTCATAGACTCCAGAAAGTCCTTGAATTCCTCGTGACCATCGCATCGAGATCTTGACCCTCCTCTTGACGAACATGATCTACTGAGACTGCAAGCCCGTAGTTTCTAGCTTTATTGTTCATGCGGTGCGACCCCATATCAGAACAAGCAATATCAGTCGTAGTAACACTCCTATTAAAAACGGACATGTCAAGTTTGGGAGCAACAAAGATGCTGCCAAACCCGGAACAGGTTTTCTGGGCGATGCCGGCCGACTTCCAGTTGCTCGCAGACTACGGCATCGATGCCTCAGATCCTGTGAACCACAAGGCTTTTGGGACAAGTGGGAGGGCTACTGGCTGGATCTTATGTTTCTGAGTTCAAGAAGGTTCGTAGAGAGGCTAACCTTGTTTAGCCTTGATTGCGAGTTTGCCATGGACGTGTTGAGCTTTTGGGCCATGGCTTGAAGACCGGGGCAGAGAAGCGCGTTCAGAAAGCAGACCGTTGAATATCATGGCGTTCGAGAGAAGCTGGGATTAAAGTTCGACTTGGCCCCTACCAGCCCAACTTCCCTCAGGCAACCCAGCCGCATCGTTGCAAACAGTTACTCTTCTTCTGTCTCCCTGCAGATTTTGAGCCGGCGTGGCTCAGACGAGGAGGGTGCCAAGCCTGCGCCCCAGCAATGACACGACATGGGAGCCCCTTCTACAGGGCATGTCCATGCATGATTTATGTGGATTGTGTCGGCTGAGGCAGGTGGGTTGTGGTCGCTTGCTTGGTCGCAACTTGCAGGCTTGACATGCCGGAAGTCCGGCGATACTTCATAGGCCTCCGAGGGCTCGCGGATTCCTTTCGTCGCAGACCGCCTTTCGGGATTCAGATGCAAGCAGGGACCGCGGCTGCGTGTAAAACATCACTATTTTGATGCGCTGTCGGTGTGCAGGCAAGAACTTCGATGGGGCTCATTCGCCGGAGGCCTGCACAATGACAGAGCAAGCATGAACGAGTAAGATGCCGAGCAGATGACAAGCAAGCTGAAAGCATGTGGTATGTGTGTATGTGTATGTGCTAGCCGCTAGCCTTTGGTGTCATGTACCATCCAAGAATCGTATTAGCGGCATGGTGATGAAACAGATATCTTACTCCAACCACGTTGAGTCAAGTCGGCGACCTGATAGCTGTGCCCGAAGCCACATGACAGCGTGTGGTATTGGGTCAGCACACCCTCCGAACCACACGCACCTGAAGCTCAAAAGCAGACTTAATACTAATTACTAATATTCATATCGAACTAATGCAGAACTAATACTAATACTAAATCTAATACTAATACTAATCCTAATACGAATACCTAGTTCACAGATTAATACTAGTACTGGTATTAGTACCCACACTAGTACCCGTACTATATGCTGTGTTCTGTCCTCGAGGAGCTCGTCAACTACATGGGGGCAACGCCCACGGAGTTTCCCACTCGGGATGCCTGCGGACTCAGTGCTCAGAACGCGTCCAAAGGTATAGAAACAGTACGTGCTTTGGGGATGGTTGGGGGTTTGGGGGTCTAAAGTCTACAAATGAATACCTACTTTGGGCTAGGTTTTAGTGGCACAAAGATATTTGCGCTGCTCAGGTCACCGACTTGATGTGGGACTTGGCAAGAGCCAGCGACAGTCAACACGACTTGCCATGGCCTCAACTGGTTTCATCCATAGTCCCGTTCGGACAGGATGATACAGGACACACCTAGATGCACAGCTCTACATGTACGTTCAGAGTCATTTGTGCCTTGCAAGCTTGTCATATGTTGAACTTGTTTGTGGTGTGTCATCCTATTTAACCTGTCCCGGGGCGTCAAATTTAAAGGACAAGACAGCAGCAGTTAGACGCATATGAAAGAAGCGGGCGCATGAAAGCACAAGACTATGCTGATTGTCCATCTCAAACACAACGTCGAGCACAAGGATCTCCAAATTGAATGCATGCGTCAGTGATGGGTGCAATGCAGGACAGTACCACAGAAGCACGACTTCAAGTCACAGGAGAGGCATCAGAAGAAAAAAGAGAAGACAGCAGGCATCGCAAGATCAGTCGAATTCATGCGGTGCGAGCCTGCTCGGGCGGTCGGCGAAGGCTGACAAATCTGCCAGTACTGGTGGTTCGCTGCACTGTAGCTTGTGCCGAGGATGCGGTTGCTTCTGCACAAGGTCATCATGCTCGATCCTCAGGTTCAGGTGAGACCCGGCTCTCTCGCGAAGGAGCCGGTCCCTGGTACTTCACCCGACAGCCACGAAGACTGAAGTACATGATGACATTGGGGGGTGGCGAGATAATCCCTGTGCGGGAAAATCCCGAGAAGCAGCACAGGTTTCCGCAGACACAGAAACGAAAAAAGGACAGAAAGCCTCTCCGATCTCTTGGAGAGGTCCCGTTGCTCCGAGTTCGCCTTGCACCCAGTTGAGGGCCGGGGAAGGAGACCTCAGTGGGATGTGTCGGCTGGAGTCCAGAGTCTTTTTCGAGGTTTTTTTTCTAGCGAGTCGGGCACATGCATCATGATTCCATACGCCTCTGCTATCTTTCATGCATGATTTGGAAACTCAAGCAGCCCTAATCCTGACATTGGCTCTTTCTGGCATATCGGGACAAAAATTAAAGAGGAAAGGGGTTGTGAACAGGGATTACGAAGCTTTTCGGTCCTGGTAAAACTCCAGATCACGCATGTGCCGGAAACTCTCCTGTCCTAACCCTGAAGTCCTCGCCGAAAGCGGAAGCCCCAATTCCAAGGCACGATAATTGAACCCCAAATCCCCACACAAAGCTCCAGATATTGCCGGTGATGGAAAAGGGCCCTCAAGGAATACAGATTCCCAAGCTGAATTAATCCTATCATCATTGCTGTTATTATGATGATGGTTATTATCATTACGATTGCTATTGTAATTTCTGTCACTCTTATTTTGACTATTACTATGATTTCTATGATTATTGTTCTTACTACCGGTATACCCTCAACCCTAAACCCTAAAAACCCTCAACCCTATTTCCTAAACGCTAAACATTAGACGCCCAGGCCGCTGCTGAGCTCGCCGAAGTTTCTTGCGCACTCGCTATAGCTGGTGCCAGGGGCCCAGAAGAAAGGAGGAAGTCGGCAGCCTAGGGTGTACGGGGTTAGGACTCTAAATACTAGGGGCTACAGCTTGTAGGATTTAGGATGATCTAGGCTTCATATCGGAAGGGCTGGAATGCTCCCACTGATCGCTCAGCTGTAGACCATGTCACTTGGGCACGCAAGCGGACCCTACTGTAGGAAGCTCGATTGATATCGATACTGAAAGCCTGGCGTAGAGTTAAAGTGGCCGGGTTCACTCTAGGCCGGAGACACCGAACAAGGTTTACGATGAAGAGTGCTTCACCGTCCTGGGCGATGAACTGCACCCACGGCTCGAGGAGCATCGCGAGTGGTCACTATCAACACATGGGAGCCAGCATGGATTCACGGAAGCGGCTTGTCGATTCCATGCTTGCATCACCGTCTTTGTGGCTTTCATAGTTCTGTGAAAACAACAGGACATCACCCCCCCGCCCCCAAGAGAAGAAAGCTTGCATTTCGCAATTTCATGCGAACTTTCGGGAGGGAGAGAAACGCACCTTGAAGCTCCAAGCCTTAACCTTACCTTCCATTATATTCTATACTTCCATTATATTCTATATTATACTGTATTGAGTATGACCTGAACGTATAATATGTGGTATACTATATGGTTTCTCCTACATTCTATCAAAATCTATACATACATACATACATACACATACACATACAGTATGCCCTCAGCTTTTCAGTTCAGGAGCTTGTCTTTGATGCCGATGGTGGATGCCTTTCTGGCTTGCTTTGGGCCTTTTCGGAGGCCGTTTTGCCCTCCCTTGTACGGCTTCAGGGTTCCAGGGTTTAGGGCTTCAGGGTTTCAGGGTTTAGGGTTTCAGGGTCGGTTTCGGCTAGGGCTAGGGCTTCGAAAGCACACAGCACCTCGAGAAAGCAGAAGCCCAGCAAGGAATGCAACGGCCCTCATCATTGTCATAATGAAGGTTATATAGGGTTTCGCAAAACTAGGAGCCCAAAAAAATACTACGCGGCAACGAAGCTCTCTATAGTGACTTAGTGCAGGCTGGTGTCGCGCACACGCAGCTCTACAAAGCCCTCGCACCTTTGTGGCACTTGCGGAGTGTTGTGCAGTGCTGAGTCGTCTACCAACGCTGCACTATTGTCTTCGACCTGCTTTTGCAACTTCGTTGCTTCTATCATGTACTGTAGTTACCGCCTCTTCACGTTCCTTGCCTGGTGCCGTGCCCTTCTAGCTGTACTGTTGGCATGATTACTGCTATGAGTGCTTGTATATTGTTGGCTCTGTTCCACTCTGAGGCTGAACGGGCAGCACAAGGCATGGTCGACTTTGAGCCAAAAGCCTGGCGCCGAGAATTGACTTATGGCTTACAGTAGGGGTTTGGGGCGGATGTTGGGGTAGGGCAGAGGAAATGCTTGCGGAAAAGAAAGAGGAAAGCGCAGGCAAGAAACAACCAAGGCGGGTTGATCGTGAAGCGGCCAGCATAGCTACTGTAAACCGGTGGCCTGTGTGCCTCTTATGTTCATGCTGAGAAAAGTGATCCCACTTACGTCGGGAAGTAATTAGGTGTGTGTGCATGTATGTCTGTGGCCTGTAGGTTGAAACAAACAGTCGTGCGTCATATCCTGCGCACAGGTTCTCTCGGACGTTCGCGAACCCTGTTTTTGGACATTCCATCGAGCTTCCGCTGGCGTCTGGTCAAACCGAGGCAGGGGCAGGGCACACGAGCTGCATGCTGCTGACGGGCCGAGCCGAAAGACATACGTATGTAGCGAAACCAAACAGTGAGCCGCTCGAAACTTTCCATATTAAGCTCGCAGCCGTCAGCGTTGGATTGACGCAGGGTGAGGGCATCTGCACCTTTTGAGATCTTTTGAGTGCTGAGCCCGTTTCTGAGGCTCTTTGGAGAACCCCCGTGACTGCCTCAGCCGAGCATCCTTTTCGGGTTGCCGTTTTAAGCAGCAGGTCAGACACTTCGGCATCCGGCTGCGAAAAGTGTGTGTGTGTGTGCGGGTGGGTGGGTGGGTGTGTGTGTGTGTGTGTGTGGGTGGGTGTGTGGTGTCTGTGTGTCTGCGCATATGCCTCAACCCTGGCCCACGCCCGCAGACCGAGGAGATTTTCGTGGGTTCGCAGCAAATGAGTTCTACGATCACTTGGCCCCACTGCTGCTGGAAAGGCCGCATGGCTGCGGTTGCTGTAGCGATGCAGCACACGTTTGATGCCATGGCGACACTTATTACCTGTGCCCCACACTTTAGTCTTGTAAGAAGCAACGTCAGAAGGCCTCGTGGACAGGGCAGGTTTAGCCGGGATGTTGTTGAGCTTTGGAGAACTGTCCTAGGATCCGGTGTCTCGGGAGCGGTGCCTTTTTGCGAGACGTAGCTGTCCGGCCGTTTTGTGCATCGAGCACTCAAGGCTTCTAAGCGCCTTCAGGGCCGTAGTTCCTTAAGTGTGTTAGGTGTGGCCAACGCATAGGCATAGCCAGTCAGTAGTTCATCCATATTCACACCCGAGCTTCTGAGGATCAATGACATCCATCCAGTTTGCGCTTTCCTCGGCTTTTGAAGATGTTTGGACACTGTGGGTTGGGGCTGTCAGTCACCATGCAAGGGAGTTACAAGCTTCGTGTCTCCGATCTTCGTGCTCAGGCTGTGTCTACTTCATGTGGAGCTTTTGTAAGCCGCTGATCCTGTGCACGGTGGCGAGCTCAGCCGCTTCGGGTGAGGCGGGAGCTTACTTCCAGACGAAGTCCACTGCAACTTTAGACCTCGGACAAACCTAAGGACTGATGCTCACGTACATGTCAACTCGTTTCTGAGCTCACTCCGCGAAAACCGAAAGATGCTGAACCTCCAAGGAAGGAACATGAAGGAACCAACAGTGTCAGGTTCTTTGGAAACCTCCTTGCCGCCCGTGCCCTGGCAAGGACCTGTTTGAGGCAGTTGCCCAGAAGGTCGTGCCGGAGGCGACCCGCACCAAGCATCCGTGGCAGTAGAAGTCCATCCGTGCGAGTGAGGCAGTGATTGCCCAAGCCAGTTCCTTGGTAGCCTAAGTGATGCTAATAGGGCACGGTTTTTTTATGCAGTAGAAGTATTAATCTTTATACTATTAACCCCCAGCATCCCGGCATTGCTAGGCGAAGATCTCCCAGACCAGACCTGGTCTCTGGGAGTCTGCAAAGCTCTAGGATCCACCAAAACCGCAACGCGTCCCAACTGCACCAGCACACTCAGGAGGATCCTCAAGCTTTTTAGGACTGTAAGACCGAACCCAGGACTAGTGCCGCCGATACCGAAGACCTCCGACGCTGCGACAGGTGCAGAAGCTCGACAGATGTGGCCTCGCGATGTTCTGCTGGAACTATGCCTACATCAGTCACGAGTGCGCCCCAGCACCTCGGCTGCTAATATATATGTGTGTACATATACATATACATATACATTTACATATACATATACATATACATACACATACATACATGCATATATATATATACACACACGTGTGTGTTTGAGGATTCATACATGCATGCATGCATGCATGCATGCATACCTACACACACACATACATACATACATACATACATACACACACACACGCACATACATACATACGTACATACATAAAGCATACACACATACATACATACATACATACCTAGACACACTTTCACAAGACATATATATATATGTGTGTGTGTGTCTACAGACTGTGTATATACATATACATGTGCATACATAAATTCATACACATGCATTACATTACATTAGATTACATTACATTTCATTACATTACATTACATTGCATTGCATGCATGCATACACACCTACATACCCATGTCCATGTACATTTACATCCATATGCACATGCACATGTTCATGTTCAAGTACATGTACATATACATACATATATATATGTGTGTATATATATATGTGTGTGTTTCTTTATCCGTGCTTGTCTTTATTTGTCTGGCAATATAATGTAAATCATTATAAAATGATGTACTTGGTGATGTATCTGGGGAGCCAGACGCTCAGCATGGATGCAGGGATCTCTAACTTTGTCAGTTTCACTTGGGCTGGCGTGCAAATTCGTGTTCTTTCGGCATGCCACGACTTCGAGGTGATCCGAAATACTGCCCGAGCCGGTAAGCCTTCCTCGGCTGTTTGCATAATCACCTGCACCTTCTCTGTGCGTATTAGCTCTAGCAGAGGGAAGACGGTGGGTGCCAGTAGATGATGTTGCACTGATGTCGAGGAGCTATCCTTGATTGTAGCTTCTGATACACTTTCACCGTTCCACCAGTAGGCGAGCATCACGGGGAAGGGACCAAAACCCCATTAAGGATAAACAAAATCAAGTAAGGATCACACGTAAATTGTTAGATCCCTGTTTGATTGTTTGAGCCCTCAGCCGAGCATCACTGGCGCGTGGTTATGGCTGCATGGTAACTGTAAATTCCTTATTATCTTTAATTGCGTCATCGGGTGTAAACTGCCCTAGACCCGGACAGAGCATGCCTGCAGAGGTGTTCGAGAGTACGGCGAAGGACTCTTTGCGGACCGAACGCCTAGCTGCGCGGCGCCCAAGCGGAAGGAAGTGGATGGGCAGTTCCGCAGACTGCAGTTGCCCGAACAAGAAAACCGGCATGCGAGCCGGCTGGTTTCACGCGTTGTCTTGATTGCTGGAAGTACCAACCAAAGATCCGAGAGCTCGAAACCACGATGCAATGTCCCACACAACTGCCAGTTTCAGATTAGCAGAATCGTTATATCTGGTTACCAGGAAGCCTGCCCAAGCTCCGAGGAACTCACACCGCGGGATGTCGCAGCGATCTCCAAAGCTTTTGCCAAGGCGCAGCTGGTCCAGGATCACATCTCATACATATTGAAAAAGAGGCTTCACTGACTGGTGCTTGCGATGCAGTCGTCGGGTTTCGCAGTTCATTGCTCAGCGCCGCGGCACATGAGATTGGAAAACACGAAGCGGGGTTTTGAGGTTTCGAGCTCCGCATGTGCTGGCAGGCAGGCGTGCGCAACGTCGAGCTCATGCAGGCACTGTGCGATCACAGCCCCGGGCCGAACCATGCCGATTTTAGACACCAGCACACTGCCTGTGCTTGTTCGACGACTTTCCTACGTGTTCTGGCATTATGACTCATGATCATGCATCATAATTGTTAATGCAGGTGGTGGTAGTAGTGCTAATGAATCGTCGTCGTGGTGGTGGTATGACGACGACCTTCCAGAGCATGCTAAGAACTTGTGCGCCTTGTGCGCTGCAGGTTCTTTAGGTTTTGCGCCCTTTTGCGCTGAGTCTTGAGCCTGCCAAGCAGAGTAACCCTTGCGGGTGATGGGTCTTTGATGGCGCGAGCCCCACCAAGGCTGCGGCCTGCTCAGGCATCGAGCTGCCCTGCCATTACATGATGTGACCTACCAGAGCCGACACGAGGTCGTAGAATTCTGTAGGGCTCTGGAGAAGCAATTCTGAGCGGTCGCACTCGGAGGTTGTAGCCCGTGCCCTCGCAATCTGCCAGGGATGGCATTGACCAGAAATGCTACAAGCGGCCCATGAAGTCCCTTGCCAGAGATGTCTACGCCTGCCTGACACGCTTCATTGCGAGCGTCTGGCCATGCACGAAGGGATACTCCTGCCTCTGTCATGGACCAAGCCATTGGTCGACCTGCTTGCCATATCACCTCTGGCATTGCACCTGCTCTCCAAACCCTAAATGCTTCACTTTGAAAGGAAGAGGACTTCAGCGCTGTGGATGGAAAAGTCGATGCCTTCGACATGGCAGCTCGGAGATGTTACGTACCTTAGAGTTCAGTGGTTCCCTAAACACCCAGAGCCCTCAACCCCAGGGCTCCATGCCAGCGCGTCCTGCAACCTGAGCTTCAATGAACTTGAAAGTTCTGAGACCTGGCCCTGAACTTTCATGGAACACCTCCAGGGTACTGTAGGGGCCTAAACAATTGCCGATGCTATCTTGGGGTTCCTGGACATATTCTTGGTATTTATAGCAGAATAGACCCCAAAGACCCCTATGGTAAAACTCCTTGGTGTAGTTTCCGTTTATCTAGCCATTGGTATCGAATTCTCTGATGGCTCGCTCGGAAATCTCGTCCTGTCGGGGTGCATGTTTCTGGGGGTTGGGGGGCAGCTCAAAGGTCCCGATTGTTAACGGTTTAGGGTTTGGGGTTTAGGGTGTAGGGTTTACCGTGAACCCCTGCTGGCCAAGGTGACTTTGTCAGATATGCGCACTCCTCAGACACCTAGCATCACGCAACATTCCTCTCGGCTGCTCAGATGTCAGACCCGAAAGCCTACACCCATAATGACAGCACAAATAGTAATAACAATAATAATAATAATGATAAATGTTTACTACTGTAATGATGATTATTGTTATTCCCATCATTATTAATGTCATGTTTAGACAACAGCAGTGATACCGAGGCTGAGCTCCCTTGCAGACCAGCAGTTTGTGCATCCGCAGTTTCTGCAGTTGGCCGATGAGTACATGCAGAAGGCTTGCATGTAGCTTTGTCATAGCCGGGTACTATTTTTTCATGTCTTTGGGTATTTCAACTCAATAAGGAGTAGAGACGTAAGTGTTGAATACGATCCCAACCATGAACTAGTGAATGGGTCACGACATGTGGTAAGTTGTGACTGTGCCAGAGATGCCAGGGCCTACAGCAGCCGGCGCATGAGGTGACAAAGTTTCTGCGCTTCCCGCAGGCTGGATTCCGCGAGTGTCGGACATTCAGAATCAGTTCGTGTCACAACATAATCGAAGAGGAGCCTCTGAAATAACTGAACTACTTATACAAGAGCTTTGAGAATGTACAGTTTCACGTACTCGAACTTAAGTCTATGTGCATATCCGCCTGCGAGGATAGTGCCTGTAGCCTTCAAGGAGTACCTTTTTCTGTTCCCTCACCGAAGCCTGGTGTGGGAATCCTCTCCCAACAAACATAGTACTAATTAACAATTCTAGCTCGTGATAATAGGGGGAATATGAATTAGAATAGTAATCCTCTTCTTAGTAAGATTACTATCTATCACGACCACAACTAGGACCCGTAACCAGGTCTTCGCCCGAGCGCTGGTTGCCCGAGCTCGTGCCTACATTGATCCTGCAGGCAAGGAGCATTTTAGTGTTGGGTGGGTTTAGGGTTTTGATTCAGGGTCTGCGGGTTTTTTAGGGTTTCGGGTTTGGGATGTCAGGTGAAGCACTGAATCTAGTTGTTTTGATTAGGATCGTAGCGGACATATGACAGCTGAATGATCCTTCGCAGCAAACCTCGAAAGGTAGCCGGACTGTGCGCCCACCGCTGTTTTCTAGCTCCGAGTTTGCAGCGTGTTTCAGGAATCGGGGTTTGCCCGAGACGAAAGGCTCAGTCCTTTTGATAAGAGGCTATGAAGAGGAGTTGAACCACTCTCGCACTGCGGCAAGGGCGGCAAGTTTTCAGAAGTGCGATGCCGCACGTCGTGCCGGGAGCTCGGGGTTTTCAGCCAAAGTATGCGCTGAATAGCTTTCCACGGTTAATATTAAGGGACGACACGCCGACGTAAGCCGTGTTGCTATGCTGGGTTTTGGAGTGCGAGTTTGATGAAGAAGCTGTACTCCCCCGAATGGCCATTTGCGCGGTTGCGATGGGATTTTGAGGTTCCAGATCGCCACTTGTCCGTTTCCTATTGTGTGTGTGTGTGCGTGTGTGTGTGTGTGTGTTTGCCGAGGGTCCTGAACAAGACGGTTCGTTGTGTTTTTGTATCTCCTCGTTCTGGTCCAGGTAGCCGTGAGACGAGAGGAAGGAGTTCTGAAGTTGGAGGGTTTGGGTTTCTTAAAGAGGCAGCAAAAAAGATGAAGGCACACATCGAAACACAAAGACAAACTCACGGAAAATCTCCAAGCCGTTGGTCTTGGTGCAGTACCTCCAGAAGCAGTTCCTTGACGTT